AAATAATGTCTTGCATTGAGGATAAATGAAGTTTGTAACAAAAACTTGGTTCTATTTTAGGAGCATTGTCGGACATGAAGATATAACATAGCCTTCTACTTCGATGGTATCACTCATGGACTTGGAGGCTTAATTTGCCTTTCCCTCAGACGGATTTCAGAATGGGAGAAAAGCAGAAGCGTTGAATTCAACATGTCCGTAACATATGGTGCAGGTCAAAAAGAGGACAGACAAAGCGTAAAACCATTATCTATCAAGACGATATCATCCGTATACACAGTATAGAAGTAAGGAAACAATGAAGTACTGGTGTTTTGTTTCAATATCGACATTAACTAAGCCAATCACTTGCTACAAGTGATCGTGACTTGAAAGTTTTCATTATGTATTTACATGTGTGCATGTGTTGTAAAATATTTACATTTTGCTAATTTTGACTTTCAATTCGCAAGTCAATTCCTTTGTTTGATAAATGATCCTACCATACGTATGGTGGCGATTGCAAAGGCATGCGTAGCAAACGTGTTGTTGTGTTAATTTGTATGGTCCATATATATATTTGCTAGTTCGATGTCGAATAAAGTGAGTAATATCATGCTGTAAAAATGAGACATTATTATTATTATTAATTTGGAAAATTATTTATATCGATCAGTACCTATGCACGGTATAAATTTATTGTCATTATATATATATCTTATATCCGATAAAGCTAAAGAAATGTTCAATATACGGGTTCATTCAGATATGCATATGCATCATTTTATGTTTTAGTTTTGTTTGTAATCGAAGAGCATTGATTTAGAATTTGTTTTATTTTATATGTATGCGATCTCACATAAGCTCGGTTTGTAAATCACTGTACTAGATATGCGTAGTTCCGGGTTTCGACTCATGTGAAAATATTTTAGCCAAATCAACTTCTGTCGATCAGATATGAGTTTGGGTAATGCGTGTTGCATTATCCTTAGATTCTCTGTTACAAGTATGATTATACTTTGACCATGGAATAGGATTAAGTTTTATGTCTTTATATAAAGAGATTTTAGTATTTAAATGTATATGTTTTGCATAATCGTAATTAAAATAACGTTTCTCATGATTCTTCAAATGTGTCAAAACACAATTATGCATTAGTAATTCAGTAATCTTACGTTTGGTGAAAAGGAGCTGTTCAGTAATAAGCGTGTTAAGAGATCGCAAAGTTTTAATGGGATTCGAATATGCTGATACAGTAATTCCATACTGCCTCTTGTTGGTATAATATGTTATAGGTGCATCTATCGGCTTTGTGGCATACAATAGGAATGAGGACTGTTTATCATACAAGCAAAAACTGTGTTATAACTTCTTTATTAAAATATCATTTTTCATACTTCAGACGAAACTGAGCAATTTTAACATAAATCGTTGGCAAATTTATTTAAAGTTTGTTTTATTATTATTTGTATTACTAATACCTTTTAACAATTGATACACTGTGGGCACAAGGCCATCACTCACAACTTCATGTTTACAGCTGATGTACATAGCTGTTTCTATGCTTGCGCACAATCATGGAATAAATGTTGTAAAGAGGCGAACTACACATGTGTTTTTGTAAAACAAAATTTGTACTTTAAACTTAGATATCAGTAAAATAGATCTCGCACGTCTGGGTTACAACATACAAAGTCTTTCTCTGTGTCTTTTCAGCTTTGTTATGTACATCCACCGAAGTAATCGGCGCAAAAGAGTAATTGTAATGTTTATAAGCCGAACGCACTGAATATATAAATAAAATAACCTTAACCGGTTATCCAATAAGTACTGTGATCAGAGCTTAAAAACCGGAAATTCAGATTCGTTGGACATGACTTCGTTTGAAAATAGCTGTGTATTGAAACAGACAGACAGAAATAAAACCTGGTTTATTTAGTAAGCATACCAGATGAACGATTGTTGTTCAACAGTTTTTTATGAAATTATTTCAGCATAAATAAAAAAGAGAAAATAGATATTGTTAATCAAAAAGAAAAAAAATACTAGTTATCATTTGTAAAAAATGATAAAACCTCAAGTGTTGTAAAATTGTATCTAGTGATTATTCCGTTTATGAACTGCATAAATTCACCATAAAAGACTATACATTCATTGAAAGACTTAGGAACGTGAAATGATACAAATCGATTATTACAGCTTATCAACAGACAAAAGCTTCTAGGCAAATACTTTCAATTCTAAGAAGGTTGCAGCTGAGACGAAACGCAACTAACAAATGAAATAAAATCATTACGAAAGTGTGAACAAGACTGTAATTGAACTCAAAATGAATGCATTTAAAGAAGAAGAAGATGAACTAAAGAAAGGTTTACATTGAGAGCCTTGAAAAAGTGTTTCAGCACCATCAAGCCGTATCCCGTCCTTATTGGTCATGGTTTTGGTAGTAATGAGTGTATATACTATCCAAGTGATGAAGTATTTTCTCGACAATAGAACGTTAGGCGATACGATTAGAAATAAATATACTCCATAACAAAAGGAGTGTTATCCTAACACTAACAAAAACCTTCAGTATTGGAGGTCGATAATGGTCACTAACGTCCTTGTTCTAAATAAGGGCATCGTCAAGATATGCCTAGGGTTATAGATGTTTTTCTGTCAAAGTGTTGACCTCCCGCTCCTCCTTTCTCGATACATGCTGTTTTTCATCAACACATTTTTGACTTTCCTTGTGTTTGCACCGCAAAAAATGAAATACATGTATATTCCAAGATTTTAGAGTCACATTTTATTTCTGTTATTATTCAGCATAATCATTCGATTCCACCTTGCGCCTATCCATCTATTGGTATGGTGTATATGGATGAATTCCTCTTGATTGATAATATTGTCAACGTTTTGCTGTCCTCTTTCTTACCAACATCACATGTCACAGATAAGTTAAACTCGATGTTCCTACTTTTCTCCCATTCTGAAATCCGTCTGAGTGGAAGGCAGATTAATCCTCCAAGGCCAAGAGTGATGCCCCCGAAGTAGAAGGCTAAGTTGTAACTTCCACTCATGTCCGACAATGCTCCTGGAATAACAATATTAACGCAACAGTCATTTTAGAAACAAAAATTAAAAATTAAAACTATTTCCGAATTGTTTCCTGCACATAGGAACATGTAGTTTATAGAATGAGTCATTTAATAGTTCGGCAAATATCAGTGATTTCACACGCCATGTCTCCTGTTTGATAGCGAGATAGCCAGTACAGCAACAGGCCATCATCACATCGTAGGTTGACGTTATGTATATGAATTATTCTAAAGACCATGCGTAAATAATAGTAAAGAGTAAAATTGTGCACTTGCGTGTTTGCTACATTATTTATGAGGTATTTTCTATACACCAGAACCTAAACATGAGTAACAGTACTCATTTCTATATAAACTGATGCAGTGATTTATTATCTTAAAATTGTCTTACGCAGACAGAACACACAAACACCAAAATGGGAATAAAAGAAAATCAACACAAAAAGAAATCAACATCAGCCGAGGAGATAGCATAGCAAACATATCAGGAATCCCTTAAAGCGCCTTAACCGAAAACAGGTGATTCATGTATCGGTAACTAACGATCCAAGTTCAACATATGGAATTGTACCTGCTATAGGCGATCCAACAAATGAGGACAGTCCCATGCTCAGTCCAACCAACCCAAATGAACTGGAAAGTCTGTGTACCCCCAACAGTTCTGCCATCAGTATACTTCTGAGACAGATAAATGCCGCTGAAATTACATTAATACACCAATATACGTAGCAGCACTAACTGTTATGTCACTTATATGATTGTTTTCATTCTTATTAATTGAAAGTACGTATTTTTTTAGAAGTATAGCTCTACTTATCAACAAATTAACTTCGCTTTTATTCAATTGAATACATAATACTTTTTTAAAAGAAAAAAAATGTTTTTTAATTTAATCAGAGATACTGTTTTTATTCATAAAAAAAATATATTCTGATTTTATTTTGAAACAGGAATGATGGAATTGAAATAAAAGTGTTAAAATAAATTAATTTATATTCAGAAAATCTATGTAATAGAAACAGGATTTATTATAAAACGTTTGACTTTCTTGTTTATGTTAAGCTATAAATGTGATTTTCTTTCCTATATAGATTACAAAAAGATAACTGGTTATGTACATTTATATTTTTTCTATAACCTTACCTAATACTGCGCCAAACACGACCGCGTAAATTGTAAGAGTAACAAAGGTAGTGTAGAAGGGCACAAAGCACGTAGACACTCCACCAATCAACAGGGCAGTATTGTTTATTATCAAGCTATTGGCCCATGGTTTGTCCGTGATGTAGCCAATCAAAACGCGTGTAACAGTGTTGGATATCCCCATGAACGAGATAAGAAATGCTCCCTCAGCAGAGGAAAGATTGACTTCACTAGCCCAAACAGGCAGGAAATTTAGAGGGATGAAAAATCCTGCAAAAGATGATTGTGCATATTATGTATTTGAAAATATTTCATCATAAGTGTGATAAGAATAACATAATTGAATGAAATATAATTCGTATCATGTGACACTAGATTGCTTAAGATGAACAATATATTGATTTATTGAAGATGTAGTATTGGTGCATCAATAATATTGAAACAAAGAAGGAGGTATGATCGTTAAATATTTCTATACACATACCAAACATGACGAAAAGACATGACGCTCCATACATTAACATTGTCGGACTTTTAAGAAGTGTGAAGTCAAACATGGCTTTGATTGGTGAACATGATTTCTGGCAACACTTGCCACAGTTGTTTGCAAAGTTATCATGCGCATATTTAGCTGTCACGATTTTCTGAACATTCCGATCAAAAGAGGTTTCCAATGGTCTGTAGACAGCGGAGCAAACAACACCGTTGAGAACAATTGCTGACATTATCCACATGGTTCCACGCCAGCCGTAGGTTTCCAAAAGAAATTCACTGAGGGGAGCAAAAGCAAATGCTCCTACTCCGGCTCCACAAACAGCCATTCCTGTGGCGAGAGCTCTTCGTTTGTCAAAGTATGTACCAATTATGACAATCGACGGTAGGTACAGCAGGCCAAACCCAATACCTTTAAAAAAATCACGTTATAGAACGAAATGAGAAAAAGGTTCCAGGTCTATAATAATGGTGACTGTTATAGTCTCCATGAAACTCTACAATCCTAAATAATACGAAAACAAAAAACACAACTACATTATACATTTGAGCGAAATTTAACACTATTATAATTTTGACCAAATAGAGTATGCAATGGCTATATAATTACGCAGTTCATTAGGATGTCACAAGAAGATTTCTTTTATGAATAAAATGAAATCGGAACCAATGGGGTAATATTGGCATAGTCATTTAAGCGCCCTATTTCTAGGAAACAGAAATTCGTTAACAAACACATAGTAATACAAAACTTTGAAGATAATATTACAATCTGGTAAGTTGTCACATAGGAAACATCCGGAAACCATTTGAAGGAAAAACGAATTAAAAAGGAAGAATCATGCTTAACTCGTTTGGGGGATTTTCACAAATATTTACGGCAATCCAATGTACAAATTAAGAAATGTCGTAAATATACAAATGAAGTGCAGTGTCTCCAATTTGCTACATACATGTTGGAAGCATCGTAAATGGTTCAGCATCTTCATTCACGACATAGGAATTTTAGAGAATACGTCAAAAAATCAGATTTTCCATTCTGAAAATTGTAAATATGTTGTGTATTATCGATGATTTATTTTCGTATATTTAGACATCCATTGTCTTTATTTAAAAGCGAAATCAACAAAAGATCAGTGGGTCGCGTGTTCGCGGCTTACGTGGGAAAGTCGTCAGGTTTTGACTTTAGGTCGTTGTTTTTTTCCGAATATTCCGCCTGTCTTCCACCACCAAAACCTGGCACGTTCGTGATGACCATAGCTGTTTATAGGACGTAAAGCACAAACACAACCTGTATAATCCCTGTTGTCTATCACGTCTTTACAGTGTACCGATTGTAGATACATTATGTTGCCTTTAACTAGATGTCCTAAAATACATTGTACCTTCCCCCTGTTGTCTTCAGCTACATGAAAACTGATGACCTGTCACTTAACTAAATCACACATTTAAAACATTACACATAATACATACCTCCTGTTGTCTTAAAAAAACAAAGCAAAAATTAGATACCTCCGGCAATGCTGTAAAAGATTATCATCACGTCAAGGCTTGGTGAAAATGAGGAAAGGAAGAGCCCGACGCTGACAATTACTGCTCCACTTCCGGCCACCCGTCGACTTCCATATTTGTTCATCAATACACTTACAACTGGACCTAGCGTAAAACCATTTTCATGTTAATTAACATTAGTAGCTAATACTCTGTACAAACCTACGTCATATCTTGATCAGGAAAAATCACATGAACTCAAATGTCCATCTTGTTCAGACTGGCTTTGACCAATTTACCTATCACTGGGTCTTCCATTAACCGATCTTTAGTCTTTCCTGATGGATGCAGTGTCAAGAAAAAAACTGAAGCCCTGGTGGCGTGGCGCCACTTGTTGCGTACGTAGTAGGTCGTAGTTACATATATATTCCCCCCCCCCCC